AATGAATGAGTGTCAGTGTGTTACCTTGGATTATATGTGTGAGAATTTCCAGATGTGTAACCCCTGGCTGACAGCTGGGTCTTTACCTGGCACTGGCAGTGCTGTGTTTCAGAAGTTGAAGCACATTCAAATATCGCAGTGCTAGGACCAGCAGAAGAGCAGCCCAAAGGTGAGGGAGCTGAAGTGATGCAGCTGTTCTCAGCACCATCAGATGTACTCTGGGGTGTCAGTCTTTGGGGTTCCACTGCTGTAGTAACAGAGAGGAAGAAGCCCTCTGAGGGGGAGCGTCCTCCGCTGTCTTATTGTGCTGCTTCTGGCTCAGCCATTAGAAATTCAGACAGGTCTTGCCTACCTGAACCTGGTGTGAACGCTGCCACACAGTCCCCAGGGCTCCCAACAGGACTTATTAGTTTGATGTTTTTTTGTGTTGCCGTGTGTAGGAGGGGAACGTGCCTGAGTGAATCCACGTGCTCTTGCTGTGTGTTTGTGGCACTGTCTGACATTCCAGCGAGTCAGCTGGGGGTTTGTGGCTGTGGGATTGCCTGTGGTTCTGAACGCCCTGTGACAGCAGGACAGTGCCACCGCGTGGCACCGCACTGAGGGGACTGCAGGAATGTCACAGCACAGCCCTGGCTCCACTGGGGAACTGGGATGAACTTATGTCTTGGAAAGAAGTAATAGAATACATCTCATCTTTTTTCTTCTGTTGGAGGGTTTAATGGTGGTGTAGAGCTTTTAATATTTTCATTAAACCAATCCAGTTTTGCACAGCGAAAAGGACATGGGGAGACTCATCACATTGCTTTTAATTGATCAACCTTTCCTTCCTGTTTCTTTTCCCCTCTCTCCTCCCAGTATTGCCGAATGCTGTAGCACTCCGTACTCACTGCTGGGATTGGTCTTCACAGTCTCTTTTGTTGCTCTGGGAGTTCTGACTCTCTGCAAGTTTTACTTGCAGGGTTACCGAGCATTCATGAATGATCCTGCTATGAACAGGTAAGTGCTTCATTGTGCCTCGGGTCAGAAAAGAAACAGACAAAAAAAGGATTTATATAGAAATATATGGGTGGCATCGCAGTTTTTTAACTTTTGAACTCTTAGGTATCATTGACTGGCTTTTTGTTTGCCAGTCTGTGTGCGCGCATTGGAAGGATTTGAGGTGAAAATACTTTTTACAGACTTCTTGGGAGATGATTCATTTCTCTATCAGGTTCAGGGGCTGTTAGTCAGGATTTACAGTTGCACAGTTTGATTGTCTTAATGCTTTCATTTTCATGAGTCACTGAAAATTTTTCATAAGCATTAATAATATGAACACTTCATATTTTCATTTCCTCATCTCCCCTCTAGCTACGTATGAAACATTACTAATCTATGAGGTTTAAAACAAAAACTTCTATGTATAGCTTGTAAATTACTATGGGAAATAGCCATAATATAGAAATTGCCTTTTCTCATGCTCTTCCAAACTTGTCTGATATGAAATTGGGATCCTAGATCTGACAGTGCCTTTCTCAGTTACTCCAGCCCTTCACTTCATAGAAAGTTTCAGACTGTATGCAAAAGAATGCTTTACATTTTGGATTCCTGGATGGGATTCCTAGGTATAAATTTGGGCTACCTAGGAATAGTCTACATTTGATGAAGGATGTACTTCTGGGTGATATGTTTGACCTTGTCAAACAGTGGTGCTAAATGGTGATCCTCAGAGGTATTAAAGTCAGTCTGAGGTTCCACACCAAAAAGAATGGACAGCTTTATTTGGGTTTGGTACAAGGGGAATAAACTGAAAAATAGCAAAATTGCTGATTTGCCTAAACTGGGCACCCGGTGGGGTATTAAATCAATGGCCAAAGGACAGACAAGAGAGTGGTGATGGGGAAGTATAAGGTAGCTACGAGGGTCTTCCTGGTGGTCTCAGAATGAGGCTGACTGGTGCCCAGGTATAGAGAGGGCAGGGCTGTGTAGGCAACACTGAGCTTGGGGTGTTCCTCCACTTAAGATGCTGGGTCCTTAAAATGCTTTGTGCTGGATGGTGTCTGAGCTGGATGTATCCCAGATGCTGCTTGTCAAGAGCAGGGTTCCGAAATCTGCTGGTTTCTAACCCAGACTCTTCAGTGGTTCTGAAAACATTCTCCTCTGCTTAGAGCCTTAGCAGGGACGTCAGTGAAACCTAAAACCAGGGACACGTGGAAGGTTGGGACAGAAACAGCTTATTTCCTGGTGTTTCTAGATGTACTTTTGAACCAGCACTGACACACAGATGTGGTTGATTGTTCTTTTGACTGTGTTGATCTGCAGGGGAATGACTGAAGGAGTCACACTCCTGATCCTGGCTGTGCAGACAGGTTTGATTGAGCTCCAAGTTGTGCATCGGGCGTTCCTGCTCAGTATTATTCTTTTCATTGTGGTGGCATCCATACTTCAGTCCATGCTGGAAATTGCTGATCCCATTGTCTTGGCATTGGGAGCCTCAAGGGACAAGTAAGAGACTAAGTTTCCTAAACTGAAAGTTACTCAATGTTCTTTTAGGAGGTGATAAACTAGTAATTGATGATCTAATTTGGATTTTTAGTAGCTTGTAAAGTTACCCTGTTTTTTTCTGTATGCAGATTTCTTTTCTAGTCTAAATTCTCTAGTTTTTCTTCTCTGTC